CATTTTAGTATACAGTATAGTGTTACAAATGTAGGTCATTTGTTATTTTTAATTTAAATGTACTGGAAGATACCCTTATCTACATTAGATAGGGTTTTCTTGCAAGTAGAAAAGTTGTTTACTTAGGTTGGATCCATTCCATAGTGGGAGTCAGCACTAAGTTGATAAAAACCTCTTAGCTTGGACAGTTTGAACCCACTGGATTGGATACATGAATGCTATTCCTTTTGTTTTATTACAAGACAACAAGTAAAATCCATTGAAGCAAGCTAGTAAGCATTTGTATTCAATACTTAGACAAAATATGCTGTAAACCAACTTAATTTTGTGAGGAGAATAATAATAAGATGAAAAATCAATCTTTGTGAACATGTAAGATTTGGCCCTGCCCATATAGAATTATATCAAGAAAATTAGAAAATTGCATCAAACTCGAATAGAAAGGGCTAAAAAAGAAAAAGTGTCCACGAATATAAGTTGGTAAACAGTATCAGAGGTTAAAACTTGGAAGATTTGGGTGTTGACCACTTTTGATGGGCAAAAAAGTGAAATCTTCATAGAAGTGATGTAGTTTTAACAATCAGTAAATGACCCAACTTATTTTATATGTTACAGTAATACAAATAAAACTATAAATCTTGCATTTTGTTTTAATTTGCATAACAACAGATGTCCCAAATATTGTAGAAATATGTTGGTTCAAACACACATATTTACAATCTGTTGCCATCTTCAATCTGTTTAAAGAAACTTTCTTAAAATTGTCCTTTCCCATCTTACATCTTTGTGGTTTGGATAATCTTTGGTCAATGAATAAAGGGATTAATTGACTTTTATATTGAATATTGATGGAGATAGGTTGCAAGATGTGAGTTGGCAAATCCAGGTTGGCAAGCTGACGCAACATTGATAAGTTTTCTATCAATCGATATGGCGAACAATGTACCGGTATACTATCCATTCAAATTTATGAGGAGTAACCGTGCAGCCATGTTTGAACTTATGGAGGATATCGTGGATTATTTTATGGTTGTTATTTATTTGTTCTCTTATTTCATGAAGTTTGAAATGTGAAATGAAGATATAAAGTCTTTTTTTGTATTCACTTTTGTCTCATCTTTTGTTTAAGGATTTGAATTGTGCTTTTAAACTGACGATTATTGGATTAGATTTTGTTTGTTACAATTTCAACAAGTTGTAAATATTGGTACTTATTGTTTATTTTGTGGCTTTGTATTTGTATTCAATTATATATTCACTTTGACCTGTTTAAAACTGCTAATTACACAATGGAATGTGTTACTATAACTTCATCAAGGGGAGGTAATTACTTATTACAGAGTGGTGTAGGGGAGACAATTACAAGGATATGGAATATTCCCTTTTGTTTTCAATATCTTAACCAGCAGCATTCATATGTGAATAAATTGAAGTATTCTAGAGAAAATGGAGGATCAAAACATATATGAATATTTGATGCTTGTCGAGAAAGATTGTATCCGCATTGCTTTTAAAGTACTTGAAGACAATTCCTAAATTCTATAAATCGAGCTACATATGGAGATAGTTCTCAGTTAACTGAGAAAAAACAAATACACTTTTATTGTTTACAAATTATTTATCTAATAATATGAAAAATATGTTATGCACATCAGCTGTTCAATCAACTGTCATAGGAGGTTATAGATATCAATATTTGTTAGTAATACTTGAAATTTTGATTTGATCTTTAACCCCCAAGTCATCTTAATTGAGAATAATTATTAATAAGACAATATTCTTAGTACAAAAAGAATGAGGAGATAAAATGTTGACAGACAGATTGTGTTACCTGTCAATTCAAATGGCCTAAGGGGAAGTAATTATTGGTGGCTAAATTGTCTCAACTCCTTTAAATTAAGGGGTATTAATATGAAGGGATCATTTTATAAATGATAACTGAAGAAGAATGGAGGTCGAAGAGGATATGTTGATAGATATAATTGTTAGTTTTCATACTTTCTTAATTGATTGATAAAAAAGTGATAGTTAGATTATTTATGTCAACTTTAGATGTTGATAATGTGCTCTGGATTTTTTTCTTCTTCAATCATATTATGTCATGGGAAAGTGAAATTTTAGGAGATTTTGTATAGCAGGTGTATTTTATTAAAACTGAAAAGAAAATGGAATTTTTTAATGGAAGGTTTTTGATTGACAGTCCTATGAATTAGGTAACATTGATAATAAAGTTGAGGTTTTTTATTGCAAAATGTTGGTAAATATTCAAGATTGCTGCCACAAAGAGAAAAAATGTGTGAAAAGTATCTTTTTATACATATACATGTATAATACCTTAATACTTGCATTTTTTTTATGTTATTAAATGACTGTAAATGGTAGTGCAGGTTCATTTTGGACTTTTTCATGTTTTCCATCATATGCATTCTGCAATTTCTTGATGGAATGCATCATGGAGTGCATCATGCTATTATTTAACCTTTAATAACTTGTATCGTTTCATTTACAGTAAGGTTCTTTTGTGCCTTTTCTGTATTTAATTTAGCCGTAATTTACAGATACGAGACTTATGAATATGAGAAAATAGTCAAAGTTTTTGAACTAATAAGCTTATTTAAATAATACATTTCTAAATTTAGCCATGTATGACAATGGAGGGTAACCCAAGTCATGATATTTTTTGTCCAAACTTGCGTCACCTGAATGGTGTGACGTCTCTATAAACATGAGCGTAAACATCGTGAAACTATATTTTGTTAAAGGCTAAATAATCAGACCATATTTTAACATGTTTAAATTTAAAAGATTTGATTTTTGATTGCTTCAATTTTTATGGGAGATGGTTACGTTAGAATTTAAATCAAGCTGGTTAAAGGTAAAAAAAAATTCTTTAAGGATGTTTAAATTGGGGATGTAATCAAGTCTAAATATTTTACGTAAATTTGTTATTATAAAATTCTCTTTTGTTCAGTTTGTAATTTCTCTCCTTTTTCATGTGAAGGCGGGATATTTGGGGAAATATATGGTGCATTTGTAATTCACAAGCATTATTATTTCCTACTGTTATGAATCATACTGGTACAAATATCTGAAAAATTAGAATTTTTATTGATGAAAACTAGTCAAGTAAAACCACCGAATGAACTCTTTTTCAAAACAAAAATGAATATTTTCATAATAATCTGTAATATATTGTCATCTATTGACTAATACTGAAACCAAAACAGAAATAACTATTATATATACTGGTACATGTGTATTCAGCTTAGTTGTACTTTTAGTATTATTTGTAAGTGGAGGTAGACTTTCATAAGGGAAATAAGAGAAAACACAAGAGGCCATTGACCTCAGTGTCAGTAAACCTCTGTAAATGATGGATTTGTTACAAGTTTGTAGTGTAGGTTTACATTATCATTGAGCCAAGAAGTCATTAAGGAAGCCTTTAGATTTTGAAAGTCTGTGTTGAATTTGTTCCACCATGCCAGAGCTTTATAGGGAGTCAAGGTCGTTTGTGAAACTTGTCTGGACTCTGGACAGTTTAGAGCTTATATACTGAATAAAAAAAGTTTGAACCAAAAATCTTGAAATTAAAATTTTCAAAGTTGCCAAAAAATAAATTTTTAGGAAATTATTTGGTCGAATAAATATTTCACCTTATGATTATTTTCTTTGTTACAAATTATAATTCAGGTGACGTTACATTTAGAAATTGTAGTTTATTTTTGAAATATGAAATTAAAAAAATATGTTGCTAAATTTTTTGTACCCAGTATATCATAGTAAAGAGGCTTGTAAATTCATTGTATAACATCATGGTGTGGATTCATTTATTTTTTATGGATTGAAGAAAAATATATTTTCTTTGATATGGTTTTGGCCAAGTTTGCATACAATCCTATGAGAAATTTATACTTTGTTGAACATTTAAATTTGTGCTTCATCTGTACCCACGAAAACTTGTACCTAACGAATAATAAGGAATCTATAATACATGTATTTAGAATTTGGAGGTCTTTGTTTTAATTCTGCTGTTTAGTTGATGTTGAATTAATGTATTTCACAAAAAATGGGAATCCTGTGCATTGTTTGTCTTTGTTATCAGATGATTTGAGATAAAAATGGGGGTTTCTGGTTTGTTTTTTTAAGGGGGATATTATATATAATGCTTCTATTCAACCATGGATATTCAAATGTATTAAAAGCTTTTCTTGTTATTTTAGGCCTAATTGCGTAAATAAAAAATCTTTCAAATATTTAAAAATGAAAATTGGAAGTGGCGATTTTGTTTCTAATCCGTAAATGTTTGTTGTATTAACAGATAAACCTTGTCCTCTTCCTGTTTTGTATCCTTGAGATTACATGATAAGCATCTGCTGTGGATCAGTCTGCTTACATTTAGTTTTCCCGTCCAAGATGACCACATGTATTGTGTGTCCTTATAATATGGAAGTTGGTCATTATTATGTATGTTTTTTTATTGACGATTTAATGGATATTGATATACTGAAGAAATATGTTATTTTGCTGTGTAAATCATACTTAAATCAACGTTCAAGGCCAGCGAAAATATGTTATGATTAATAATTAATGCAGTTAGGTGGATAGTAATTATTGATGTATGAACTCGAATCATTTGTTTACATCGTTATGGCATGTAAATACTAAATCCATTTAGGAATTTTCATTTGATATATACATGTATGAATAAAGTAACAACTATCAAGGGAATATTTGGTGTTCAAATTTTGGAAGAAAGTTTTTCGATTGTAGTTAATTTATTGTTAAATTTTGCCCACAGATAAGATTAAAATGAACACTTACATGTACACTGTGACACTAAGCTAGCATGACATGTTATACAATGCTTCTACAATAGGTCTAGCTATTTCTGACTACTGCAGGAAAAAAATGGTCTAGCTATTCCCAACTGATGCCTGCAAAAATGTTTAGTTCAAACTAGGTTGTATACTGGTAATAAAATAGTAATTTGTGCATTTCAGAGCTCTGATGACTACATGGACAATGACTGGCTCAACAGTTTTTTCGAGGACCCTGTCCTCAATGACAAGATGATTACAGATGCTGTTCCCACACCAAGGATTCGATCAGAACACAGTTATTCTACAATCAACAATGATCCAACATCCCCCTTCGGACTTACAAAAATTGAAGGTAAATAAAACAAAACACAACCTACACAAAGTATGAGTCTAGAACTCTTTGAATCAACATCTTACGGACGTCGTCAAATCGTTTTGTTTTTGTTTGATATTTGTATCATGTAATGATATCTCACAAGCAACATTTTACTCAATATGATATAATTGGCTGAGTTACATCATAGGGTAGACTTCATTGAGCAATTGCAGATAAATATTGAATATGCATGTATTTGTTGGTAAACAATTAGATGTATAAATTTATTTGGTTTAGATTCAAGTTATTCAGGTCGATTATATAGTGTTATAGATATGGTGATCATTTGATGTCATATTGCTGTTGTCTTGAATGCTCATTTATTCTTATTATTTCCGAATACAATGTATTAAGCTTTTTTCAAAGGCAGAAGGTCCTTCTTTAATAAACACATGTTGGCAGAAAAATATTAACCAGCGATAAAAGTCTTTTAGACACATCTTCGATTAATTTTTGTCCACTCCAATGTACACAATGGAAAGACATAAATTTTAATAAACAACTAGAATAACATATATAGTGTGTGTGTGTGTGCTGTTTAGTCACACCCTATTACTGGCTATCAGTAGGGCAGCTGCAATGGTATAATATAGTATGTGTGCTGTTTCGCCATATTCTTTTACTGGCTATCAGTAGGGCAGCTGCATCAGTAAATGATTGCAAAATCCATTGTTTTGTATTTGGCAATCATAACTGCAGACAAAAATCTGCTGTTCAAGATAGCACAACCAGTTTTCCATAGCAATCAGGAACACAGATCCTTTTGTATTTGCCAAAATGATAGCCAGTAATAGGGTGTGATGTAACATAGTCTCTGCTATTGCCAATGGCCCCAAATAACTGATTGAAAAATTTTAAGTAGCTGGAATCATTTTAATTAACTATACCGGTACATGCATTTCAATATTGACAGAGAGGGTGTTCTGATGGACTGTTTACTGGTAGTTCTTTTGTAGGGTTTAAGATAACATTATCTACTTTTATTTATCTTGAGAATTAAGTATTACATATCTATAGTGAATGTGATTAGGTCATAAATAACAAGATTGTATGTAATCAATGAAAACGGCCTGAATTTGTTGTTTGACCTAGTCATGTGACTGCACTGCAGACTAGTTTTAAGTTTTAATTGTCTAAATTTTGATTTTAATTATTTTGATTTATTACATGACTTTAAGGGATTTATTTGACAGTAAAAACATTTGTGAAATATAAAATTCTTTTATAACTTTTACGATGTTTTACTAATGAATAATTTAGTACATGTAAACTAGGCCTAAAATTATTGTATTGATGTTTTTCTAAATAAATATTTCCAACATCACACACAATTAAAAGTTTAGTACCTAATGCATTGTGTCGAGAATTTTGGCCTAGTTTTCCTTTAAATTGTACCTTTTGTTTGAGTTTAATTAGTATTTACAGTGGTGTAAAGTTTATTTTGGCTCTGGGGAAATGTCATGTCCATTGTTTGCATAAGGTTTAAGGGAGATAACTGAACATATTTTTAGTAGGTGAAATAAATGCATTATCAGAAAAAGACTTACTTAGCATTGAAATAATGGACAGGTTAACTATATTGTAAGAGATCAGTAGTCTTAGAGGAAACTGTCCTCAAATCAGGCCTTCAGTTATTTATGTAAAAGATTGAAACATTTAAAATCATGTCCTTGTGCCATGAAGATTGTTGGCTAGTTTTATAAACATAAAAGTAGTACATGATAGTCATTATATGTACATACCATATGTAATGTTCTTAAAACTGGAGTTTCCATTTTTGTTGTTTTCAAATTACATCCCCATTCTTTTGATTTTAAATAGTGTGTGCTTTCATTGGACATTAATTTACCTTTCTTAATGTATTGACAAATTATTTCAAGCCAGCTAAGTTAAAGCAGTATATTTATATGTGTATTAATCATCTTGCATTTCAGAACTCGACTTTTTTGGGAACAACCAGGCTCTGGACTTGTCAGGTACAACAGGAACTCCTAACAAATCAATCCCGGAAATGAGCATCAATCTGACGCAGTCATTACTGAACGTTACGCCAAAAAATGAACCAGATGCAACATCACTGCCCATGATAACTACAACAACTACAAGATCATCGGTGTTGACAAAACAGCAACCAACCATAATTCTTGCCACATCAACTCATAGTCAACCGACACAAGTTGAACATGTCATATCTCATACGGCACCAATCGTTACCATTAAAACAGAACCACAAGATTTCATTGAATATTCTGACAATTCAGGTAATTTATCTACGGAGTGTTTTTCTGTTAAAATTATATACATATACTTTTTCTATGATTTTGACATTCAGACAGTAACTTGGTAACACCTGTTACCAGGTCGATGTATGAAAATGTCTGATAGGAGTCTGATAACAGTACATAGAAAATGTAGACATAGCACACAGAAAATGTAGACACAGTACACAGAAAATGTAGACACAGTATACAGAGGATGTAAAAACTGCACAGAAGATGTAGAAACAGTACACAGATGTACAATAGACAAATCTGTTTGTTAAAAATATTGTCTTCTCATAATTATTTTTTTTCATTATTTAAGTTCTTGGTGTTGCATTTATATTCATAATTAATAATGGAAAGGATATTTATGATTTAAATTTTGATGTTCACCTTCAAAAGAGGCCTTTAGATATGGGGCAAGCTAGTACAAATTATGTTATAGATAGCAGATCCTTTGTTATGATATAAAATGCTTATTTTAAGAAAATTCTCTCCTAAAATTATTAATACAGGTCTTGTAGCCTATGGAGTGTATTATATTCATTGTTAGAACATTCAAAAGACAATAGACATTATTTATGATGAGGCAATTATGGAAATTGTTGTAATTTGCCATATAATTAGTAATTATCATTTATGATAATTGTTTAAGTATTCCATTATAATTGACCAGAAGTAATTTAAAAGTGTAATTATGAATGTATATGATGTGTGAAGACAATAAAAATGTTTTCTGTCATGGAAAGTGATTTAGTTGACACAGGTTATAATTAGGGCTTTATTACACCTAAAAATGTCTACTAGGCTCAAAAAGGGAGGAGTTCACAGTTATTTATAAATTATTTCATGGTACTTATTCATGGTGGGGAAGGAATCTGATGAAATCCTTGAATTTCTGATATGTCAGTTTCTTTTGTTTATAATGTTTTATTTAGTGGGAACTTGTCATTTGCTTGTCAAGTAAATGATGATATTAGTTTTAAACCTGTTGTTGACAATGAGCCTGAGGGAAAATACAGCAAGTTTGAAATAGAAGATAAATCTGCCGTTTTGTCTATAATATTGTGTTAAGAGCAGCTATGATCTTGATTAATTGTTCTTTAATCTTGATCATTTCTTTTAATTCTATTATGATAAATTACATTTCAATATATATGCCTATGGGCAAAAGTATACACAACATGTTTTAACCCATTGATCATGATAAATGTAGTACATGTACACCAGACTTTTAGTATAGGTTTTAAAGTGCTTTTCTTTGTTAATTTGAAAAGTAGCACAATGAGCCAAAACCAGATAAAATTTTTAATGAAACTTTAAAAGACTCCTGTATAATTTTGCATTTAAACTTTTTAACTTTCTTGTTCAATTTTCCTTTGGTTAAAATAATGATCTTAAATTACTACAAAAATTGGATATTTGAAAATAACAACATGTTTTGTTGTTCATATAAATTAGCAAACAGTTCTTTGTTTAACGTTTTTATCGTGTCAATAAATGTCTACAAGTGCATATGATATCATTAAGTATCATGTACAAGTGGTTATGTTGTACCAAGAACAATATGGCGCAAACTTCTTTTTGTTTTGCCGTGCATAAGTGCATAATTTTAGCAATTTTTAATCTTCAGAAAAAATGTAGCATTTTTTAAAACTTTATTTAAGATTACTGATCATTAATGAAAATCTTGGGGAAAAGCAGTGATTTTTGACACCACGAAAAGAAGTCTTTGAAATTTGCTTAGGTAAATCATTTTATAATAGTATAAAATCTTTTAATTTTTTTTCAGTAAACATTGACTCATTACCACTGCCACCAACTCCTCCAAGCAGCTCCTGTAGCGACAGTGACGGAGGATTGAGTCCACAACGATCAGCACCATCTAGTCCTATTCGCCACATGCCTCAGAAAGCATCACATTGTTCATCGCTATCACCATCATCATCTAAACCATACTCTCAGCCATTCTTCACCAACCCTGTAAGTAGGAGACATGATGATTTAGTTTTTTTCGAAATTTTACAACCCCTGAATGCATGAGACATGATGATTTAGTTTCTTTGAAATTTTTCAACCCTGGAATGTAGGTAATTTGAATATTTCATCATCTGAACAACAGCTTAGTCTTCAGCGTCTCTTGTTGATTTAGATAGGCTCTCCTGTTGATAACAGTTAGATGTGTAATTGGACAGTGAAAATGAGATGGGAGATTATGCAAATTATCAAATAATAAGCTAATTATAAAAGGACTTAATTTGATTTTCTATTCTATTGCTGCCAGAATAGTTTGGTAAACTTGTACATATTGGAAAACTGTAGTTGCAATGGAAAATTTTTAATTAACAAATGAACACAAACGTAATAATTGAGCTAATAATAATCACGTTTTTTTTAAGGCACATGAAAAATCTTTTTGATTTCTAAGCTTGATTATGTTGTAATGTTTTTTTTCCGAGGACTAAAAAATAAAATAATTTACATGTATTTTACAGATACCACAATCAGGAGTGCTAATATTATCAGAAGAAGAAAAGAGAACATTAATATCTGAAGGGTACCCAGTACCTAATAAACTTCCATTAACAAAACAAGAAGAAAAAAATTTAAAGAAAATCAGAAGAAAAATAAAAAATAAGGTAGCATTCTTTGTGTAGTTGTATATTCCAGTTAGCAAGTAATCTATCAAGTAGTTACAGATTTTTTGTTTGTACTGTAGTTTTGTTATGTCTTAATGTAGATGGATATCCTTCCTCTCTTGAAAGGAAAAAAAAACATTGTTGGTACCATAAATACGACTTTAGTAATGGAAAAGTTAATGAATTTAGATATTATTCAACATTAGTTTAAATTCATTCAGATAGGACTTTGTATATAAATATATTCACTATTTTCACAACATTAAACAAAGTAAAAAATAAAACAGATCAAAATAAATAATGTTACTAAATAGTACACCATTGTAGACATTGACCTAATTTTCATATTGTTCCATCACAAATTTGAAATGCAAATATGTCAATTTGAGGTAACTGACAAGAGCTCCTTTGTTAATATGTAAAACATTTTGCAGATCTCAGCACAAGAAAGTAGACGGAAGAAAAAAGAATATGTTGAGGCTTTGGAAAAAAGAGTGGAATCCTTTTCACAAGAAAATAATGATCTGAAGAAAAAAATGGAATTGTTAGAAACAAACAATAGGTCTCTGATAGGACAGTTACATAAACTACAGAATATTGTGGGAAAAGTCACACGGACAACTAGTAACGGAACAGGAACTGTGCTTATGGTTAGAAAATAATCCGTTATTATCAGGGATTAAGACTTTGAGAGGGATCATTTTATTATCTCCCCTTGTTTTATGTGTGATAATAAACAAAGATTTATATCCAGGAGGATATTGGACTTAAATATTGAGGATGTGAAACAAGGAAATGGACCCGAATTATTTTATTGTAGAAATGTGTTTTTTTTTACTTGATATAATTTGTTGAATTATGATCCCTCTCAAAGTTTTTGGTTAATTGGAAATCTGTGTTGGTTAAAGTGCTATGTAAATAAACTGTTGAAAATCAGGAACTGTATGAAGTGAATATTGGAGAGAAAATCAGGACAAGACGAGACAAAACAAAATCAGGACGAGACAAGACAAGACATTGCAGATATGAAAGCAAAATTTGACAATTTGTCCCCACCGTGATATTTAGTGAAAAAAAGAAACAAATCCAGCTGTTGCAAAATAATAAGCTACATTTGAAATTTAAAAATCACAGATTTTGATTTTCAACAGTTGGTACATGTATGTGTCTAGTTTATGTTCATAAAACACAGAACCATTGATATATTGAATATTATGAGTGTCTGACTGGAGTAATATTGTCTTAATATGCTGAAATATTCAAATGTGTAGAATATAGTAACCTAACCATTTTGAAAAATAAGGGTTGTGTAAATAAGTGTCAACTTTGTAAAGTTTTGGCAAAATTTTTTTTAGTTGACAAATTGGGAAAAGTAAAAGGATTTATTTGTAATGACAAAAGAAAATGAAGGAAAAAAACAGAATGATGAATAGTTTGTATTATAGCTGACACATGTTATTTATTTCTCGGATAAATATCACGTTAAACCATTATGTTTTTTCTCATGAATATCAAAATTTTATGTAAATTTATTACTAAACAGTTTCCTAATTGGCTGTATTTTATTAAGAATCCCATATAACATTAGAAAAATTCAGCATTTTAAAGCAGTGATTGTTGGAAAAAAACGTATACGTTCATGAGAGCATTATTACCTCAGTCAAGACATACAATTTAGGTTTAAAGAAAAAGTGAAAAACAAATCAAATATTTACATGTAAACAATTATATTATAATCCACAGTTAGGTCAAATTTGAGAATAAAAAGATTCAAAGCACTTCTTGTGAGAAAAAATAAAAATTTTGTAGAAAATTCCAAAAGGGGTTATATTTACGAGAGAAAAAAATATGGTAAAAATTTGTTTACATGTAAATACTTCAAAATTAATAAACTAAATTGTTTGCATGTTCTAATGCAGGTTTTGGTTTTGTGTTTTGCTGTATTTTTGGGAAATTGGACACCATCCTCGTTGAATATTGGTTATTCTACGAGTTCTAGCATGATGAATGGTGGGGCTTCTTTATTTTCCAATCCACGTCTGCTTCAGCCATCTCCCAGAATGGGACCCTCGGTGCAGAATCCTAAGGTGGATGCTTACTCTACTCCAAACAGTGAGTATGGGGTCAAGGGTTATTTTTATAATTTCTTGACTTGCTTATTTATACTTTTCAGTCAGCTGCATATATATGATGGACAAAGTAAAGTGCGTTCTTTACTGAAAAAAGGTGTTAGTGTGTGAACCATGGTACCTAAAAAAAAATTTTGGTTGGAGTGAAAATTTCACTACCAACCAACATTAAACAGGATTAAAAACTATAAATATAATTTCATAAATTCATTTTCAATCTATATTTTTATCAACAATAATTGAATTTTATTTTGTGGGCAGACTTGATGTCTTGATGTTCAAAATTTTAAATTTCATCTATTTTGGAGTGATATATTCAATATTCAAACAAAAACAATTGCATGTTAATGATTGTCATTAATCAAAATTTACTTTTAAAGTATGCATGACACACAGTTAGATTTTCAGTATAGAGTCGTACCATACTGCTGAAGTGATTAATAATGTAAAATTTAAACTTTTAATGGCTTCCATAGTATATTCTTGGATAAAACGAATGTCTCAAAATTGTGTTAAATGAACAAACTTGGTTCACTTTATGTTGTTACTGCATTGATAAGGGTATTACATTGTCTGGTTTCTCTATTGATGATATACACCTGAAGAACAGGGAACTAGTTCTGACAATTGACATAATCTTACATTAATTTAAACCACACAAATTGCTTATTGGGTAACATAAATATCTATGTTTCATATGGTGTCAATGAAATACATGTTCAAATATGGAAAAAAAAACTTGCTCAATAATAAAGAACGAAATTGTAGATGAAATATATAAATTCATACATATTTATGAAAAGAATGAATAAATGAATTTTAATGACAATTATTTTATTTTTTTAGTGAAATCTAGAGTGCTATTATCCTTGTTTGAAGAACTAGAAGATTCAACAAGGTATTATCCGTATGGCCCTGTAACACCAGGTGGCACTGGAAAAGAATCTCTGTCACATGATCCCATCAAAACTTGTGAGAAGGGTCCCGAGATATCACCACCAACTTCTGATGACAAAACTGACAAAAAAGTGGAAGTCGTAACAGTTGATGCCAGAATTGGTCATGGTAATGCCACCATCAATGAAAAAGATCCATCACAAGCCATAATGCATCCAGACATATCGGCTTCAGCAGATTTCTTACAGCAAAGTGGTGCAAAAGCTGTTGATGTAGAAACAGCGTAAAAAAAAACCAATTAAAAAAGTGCTCTAGCAGTGGTTATGGACGTGGTATTCCGTAGAAAAGTGCATTTGACAAGTTTGTTTTAGTCATTTTTAGGAGGGTTTATGTATAGGTACACTGTTAATATTTGTTTTTGTTGATTACAGCTGTTATGTGAGAAGAATTGTTGTTTTGTGAATTTTGCAAATGTTTATTGATGACCTTTGACCTTTTAATTATGTGGACCAATTTCCGTTTTAGTGAGGTCTATGTGAAACTTTCCATGTTTGTTACGAGCGTGGAAGTTATCTCTGTCTCTTTTATAATCACCTTTTTTTGCTATCTGTTTTACAATTTTTTACTGCAGTTTTATTTTTTATTTTTAAGGAAACAGAAAAAAGTAAAAAGAGAGGAAAGTAATTTATAATCTTTTTTTTATTCTGGAATTTTTTTTTTTTTGTTTTCTGTATGATGGCCATGAGTTTGAATAAAGGATCATTGAAAACCAACAGAACCGGAGAAAAAAAATCTTATTTTGAGAAATTTCTTGTGTTACCATAATTAAAGGTCCACATAATTGTATTTATTATTTTGTTGATTGTTCTCTGCTAAATGTATTTAGTGATACAGTGGTGCTTCGGCCATAAGTAAATTACTTGTTCACTGTCACAAGAGAAAATCTGAAGTTGAGGTTGAATAGTATTCAGAATTTCCAGTACAAAATGTAACAATGTGTTTGTTTTAAAATACCGGCTTTGAGGAATTTAAAAGAATAAAATACAAATCGTATTTTTTAATTCCACCTAGACTATCATCACCTGTGAACAGTGGACAAACTAATTTTGCTTTAATAGGCCTGACATTTATGTTAGCATCTCAGGTGGAAACGTTGATCGTAAAATTACTTTTGAGATTGGAAGTATTTATTTATTTGTAAATTACAGATCATTATTTATCAATGTTGAATTGTTAAAAGATTATTTTGAAATTTTAATTATTTTCAATGATATATTAAACAATATTTTTGCATCTCTGTGATAAAAAATTATCATGACTTGAATGATTTATTTTTATTTTATTTTTTGTTTGCAGTAGAAAGAAAGATAACTCTTTGGGATTTTATTTTTGACAAAAAGTACTTATGGTATCTTTCAGTCAACTTCTGATGACCGATTATTAAGTTTCAATGAATTATTTGTTTGTATTTTTGTCAATGTCTAAAAGATAATAAGAGTACAATAGTGCATATTCATATGTGTGAATGGTCATGTGTGATAGTGAAGTGCATGTATTGTATGTGTTTGTCTCAGTTGTAAAAAAAAGTTATATATTTTATTCATGAATGGATGAGCTTTTCATTTATCATTTTATTGAGTTGCAATATTTTATTTTCATGCCAGTAAGTGCATGAAAATTGGCTATTGTCGGCAAGAGTGCATTTTGAACATTTAGTTATTTAATGAAATTGTATTTATAAAGTTTTAACATGAGTCCAAAATAAATTAATCGTAGTTTTATTGAATGGAATTTTAAATTTCCATATTCGTACAGCATTTCCAAAATAATCACATCTTCTATGCAAATGGTGTTGTAAAAAAACAGTCATCAAATTTCATATTTATTTATTTGTATTTATCAAACATTAATTTATTTTGGTTTCATATTCAATTATTTTTGACACTAGTCACATGTAAATAGATTATAGATGGAAGGGAGCTTCCATAAAATATGAAATGGTTGTGGGTTTCAAACCATTATTTCATTATATCATATGTCTGCAGCAGTACAGCTGGTTGTAATAAATTGATGTACATCATGCATGATAAACATTTGATGTACAACATACAAGGGAAAAATCAATGTACAAAATAATTATATTTCATTGAATTTGTTTATCAAGACAGCTAAAAAAAAAGTTCAGACATTTTTTTTTTAGATTTCATCAATTTCATGCGCAACAGAAATTATAAAGTTCATAAATTATTTATTTGAATCAGTTGAAGAAAAAAGATAAAATTTTGAAGTGTTTACAATGGACATTGAATTGTAGAAATTAGTAGGAAAGTGCTGTTTTGCATCATTTATCATTGTAAAATTTCGGGATTACAATGGGCATGATTGTACATACAACATGTTAAAAATATATATTAATATATCAATAAAAAAATCAGATACAATTGTGTGTTGTCTGCCTTTTTGTGCCAAAGATAAGTCTTCAATTGGTGTGATCAGATGTAAAAACAAGATATTTGCTTATTTCTTGCCGAAGGAATATGTCTACTTCATTTGGTAGGTAGATCTAAATGTCCAGTAGTGACTTGCCTTCTTTGGACTTAGTCAGTAAGCTAGCACTATGCTATTGTTTCAATACAAAGCAGCATTTATATTCATATTGGTGCTATTTTAGTATTCCAAGACCTGAAGATTTAAAAAATGATTCTTGGCAGCCGTAGATTTGTTTACATTTAACCCTCAATTCTCCTTTACTTCCATCTTTTCAGTCAATCCTGATTATTTACAAAATTTCGAGGGAAAACACTGTAGTGCATAAATGTAGCAAAAAATATCAACGATCTGCCCTCACCATCACATTCTCCAAGTAACAATTTTTTTTAGAAAAAAACAAAAAAAACATTGACTTGGGACAGGCACATGAATTAATGATGGTGGTAAACTAGTTTTTTTTTCTCATTTTGACAAAGTAAAAAAAGTGAGATTTAAGTGTGCTGTTTCGAGGGGCAGCTCAATAATGTAATAGTTTGTGATTATGACAGTTTAAAGGGAACCACTAGTGGTAGGTCAATGATATTTGGTATGCAGTTGTATTAATATTGGAACATCCCATTTCATACAGATTTTTTGACCCGCCCCCTCAGTCATGGTTTATTGACTTATTAACTTTTGCATAGTTTACATGTTAAAGTTTGTGATTGGGTCAATTTAAGATGAACCACTAATAGTTAGTCAATGATATTTAGTATGCAGTTGTATTAGCAATTGCACATCTTATTTCCAAGGAGATTATATGGATCTCTGCCTCATGTCTCAATGGCTTTGAAACTTTTGAACAGTTTACACGTTCAAGCTTGTGTTTAGGTCAGTTTTAAGGGAACCACTTATGATAAGTCAATGGTATTTGGTATGCAGTTGTATAAGTGTTGGCATTTTTATTTCCACCAAGGTTATTTGGCTCTCCACTTTCAGTCATGGTTTATTGACTTTGAATGATTTACATATTTACATAAAAGTATTGCCATTTTAAATTGTTCCCTAAGCATCATCTCATATCAGTTGTTAGTAATGAAGATCTCGATCAATAACTGCTTTAGAAGGATTTACATTTTATTATTTAAAGATACCATACTAAAACAACTTCATCAGAAGAAGAAATGAAACATTGTCAATGACTATGTCTTTGGTAAATTTTGTTAAGAGGTGATAAAAAAAAAGTTGAAGGAGAGAAAACAACATGATCAAAAGAAAACAACAGCCTATTAAACCCTGAGATTAGTGAACTCAACTTTTAAACAATTGCCACACTATGGACACCACAATAATTCAGTGACAAGTCATATATGATGAAATGATGGGGTGGCGGCATCAACAAATGAATAATATATGCAGTTGTCTGTAACACAAATATCATGTAACTTCCTTAAACGGTCAACTAAATCATGATAGTGTCTAAACTTTCGAAGAGATGACTTCAAATTTGCCATTTAGAAACCCGTAGTTCAGTGTCTTCATTGTATGAATAAAATCTTGATAGAAAACCCAAACTCAAGAATATTGTATCTACTGGGAAACATATAAACATGTACTCTTATGAAAGTCTGCTGGATTATTCCTACATGAAAATGGTCTTCCATGTTGACACTTTTCAACAAATGTTGGCATAAATATATGGAACAAACTGCTATTCTGGCCAACTTGTTCAGTCCACTTTATTGATCTCATCAAAACTCCTTGTATGAGGTTCTTGATTTCATAATTCAATAACTTTTTAGACCATTTTTCTCTATTCTGTATTCGAATCCCAGGCAGGTGCCCTTGATTCCAATCTTAATTTACTGAGATTTCAGTTTTCCTACCGAAGGTCTGGTTCTCTGCGGGCTCTCTCTATGCTGTACATATCAATACATAAGTTGCCGTACTGTAAGAAAACTTTGTCTTTGTGATTTATATAACTTAAACTCAACTAGTTATGAAAATTATGGTCTTATGTATTTATAGTTGGTCATAATTGAATAATAGGAAGAAATATACAATCTTTAGAAGCATTAAATGGGCTACTTTTCTTGATCTGAAGCAATGGGTGCCTCTTTTTTTCTATATTAGATGGTAGTTTTTTATCTTCAGATTTATTTACACTGATGTCTAACATTCCTGAATGATTCGGAGAACAGGTCAATTCCCAAAATATCATAATACAAATCTGTAGACACATGCAATAATTACAAATGCATAAAAAAATTAGAATTCTTGCCTGTGATTACAAAATTTTACAACCTGTCTCCGCTTCAGCTAGTATCAATATCTGGTGTTGCTCTCATACAGTGATTTATATTAATTCTTTATTTTTTACACTTTTTTGTCTTTTATTCTCGAGTGTGCAAACCCGTCCTAGCCCTCTTTTCTTCTTTCAGTTATGTGGCATTATCACTTATAAAGACAAAATATGAGTATAAAATAATGAAGAAATAAATGAGTATCCCCCAAATGATAACTCAGAAAGTTATACAAGACAAAACATGCATGAAAAGCAGGTAATCTTAACTTTTGAAACTTATAGAGGAATCGATAAAACATGTATTTTTTAACATGTATTTGTGGTTACCTAAAAGTCTTATGTTCCATCATAAAACACATTTTGATGCCTGTCGATATAAGAGAATTAATAAGTTAGCACAACAGGCTAATTTCAGATCTAGTGGGCTTTGGAGTTAAATGAACAATCCTAAAAATCATAATATTAGGATAAAGCATCACACTTACCATCTACAGGTTAGAACTTTGCATGCTCTTTTTTTGCAGAATTTTTGTGGATAATGAGATAAACTGATGTTCATGTATAAAAAAAAAAGTAAGGTGTTTTTATATGCTTGAATGATTGGAAATCCCTTAAAAATAAAACACTTTATGGTTACTGGTTAGTCAATTTGCATTTGCCTCAATTTCAACCCACTCAAAATTTAAGGCTTCAACATTAAATATTTAAGGGAATGCACCAAAGTAATGTAATATGAGATAGCAAATGAGCTGGGGTGTTTAAAAGAAATTGTGACCTTCAAGGTCATAAACTTTAAAGAAATCGTCTCTGAAACAAATGGGCCACATTTTACCAAACTTTACCTGAATGTTCCTTAGGGTATCTAGTTTAGTATATTTATCTGGGAAATTGATCCATCATTAAACATGGCCAATGTTGCTAAAAATAGAACATAGGGGTAAAATGCAGTTTTTTGGCTTATATTTAAAAAACTAAAGCAGTTAGGGGAGCAAAATTGACAAGGGTGAAAATTATCAGCAGGTCACAGTCTATCTCCATTGAAATTTTAGAATAAAAGACAACCTAGTTTGGAGTTATTACAACTGAAATATCAATTTTTAGAAAATTTCAGTATTTTAGCTTATATCTCAAAAACTAATAAATTATAGCAAAAATGACAGGGTAAAAATCTACCTGTGTAATTTTCAGAAAAATAGGACAATTCATTTTGGAGTTATTGCCCCCAAAATAGCATTTTTTTCAAATTTCACAGTTTTTGGTTATTCTCCTAAAAACTATAAAAAGAAAAGGAGAAATTCTAAACAGTTTAAAAAATCACCAAAACAATAAGATCTACAAATCAGTCAACCTGGACGTAATCATCAATTGACCCCTGATTTGAGTTATTGCCCTTAATAGGCAATTTTTTTACTTATTTTCAACTTATTTGGGGATACAATAATAGAAAGAGAGAAATTGTTAAAGCAAAATTGTTCAGAAAATAAGATCTACAAAAAGGCAACATGGCAAAATTATCAATTGAACCCTTATAAGAGTTTTTGCCTTTGAAGATGAGATTTACCCATTTTTGCGGAAACCATAATCGATAAAGAGAAACTGTAAAAAAAAAAGTTTAATAAGATCCACAGGCGGATCCAAGTGGGGGGGACAGGCCCCCCTTTTGTGGGAAAAAATTGTTTGATTATATAGGGAATCACTGAAGCATGGCTGGAGCCCCCCCCCCCCCCCCCAGTAATTTATACTGATTGATTACTAAATGATTTCAGTTACTTCTATGACTATCTTTTCAGTGTTCATACCAATGGTACAGGAACCTAAGAATTGGCCAACATAAAATATTAAATGTGAATTCAATTTTTGCATTCATACAAATACAAATACAAATATTTTATTGGCACAAACACAATTACAATAATTGGCAAAGGCCCATATTTCAGTACATTATAACAATGAATACAGCATAATGAAATAATATGTTATAATTAAGAAGCTAAAATCTCATTTCTATATACCAGACATGTTATGTATATAAGAACTTGTTACTTTCAGGACTTTTAAAGAGTTGCTATTAATGTAACATTTCATATTTAGCTGACTCTCACTACAACTTGTAGGAAGTATATCTAATATAATAGTTTTAAAGTTTATTCTGTATTTAGAAAAATTTTCACAATTCAGTAAAAAGTGATTTTCATCTTCTACCTCACCCGATTTACATACATTACAAACTCGTTCATTGGTGGGTAAACCAAAATGTCGCCCTTTTTCTATAGCAAGATTGTGTGCACTCAATCTTATTTTACACAGATATGACCTTTCTGATTTATTACTTAGAACATCAACATAAGAACTCCGTATATTTGAATTATGAAATTGTTAGGAACTATCCAATATATCAAAGGCTATTAATGAGCCTTAATATTTATTGCATGAATTATATCCCAAGTTCATGTAATTATATTAGGCAGCTGATACCTGATGATCATCCTCTGGATGGTTGTTGGTCTTTAACAATTGGATTTTGACTGTTTGATAAACTTGTCAACACATTTTGCAGCAATCAGATATACAAAAAACCCTGAAAAATCAAAAACTGAAACAGAATTAAAAATTTTGATCGCTGCCATATTGTTGAAGATTTTCAGTGCCATAGTACTTAAACCTGACGAAGTTGACCTTTCTACAATTTATGATTCCGGCTCTTGACATGCAACAAAAAGCCTCATTTGATAGATTTATTGATAGATTGTTATATCTTGTGTTTTTGTATGGCATTATGGACACATGAATACAATGAATATTTGATAACTTTAATATAATCATTTGAATTTTAAAACAGTAAACAATGTGTTTAAAACACGTCAACTGAAAAGGACTTCAAAGCACTCGACAGAATCATAACCAATATAATAAGGACCGTTTCTGTACATTAAAAAATCTTTTTCATTATGTATTTAGTTAAAACGTAAAAAGAGTTATTTCCCTTTGAATGCAAAATTTTATTTCCTGAAATAATTATAATGTAATGGGATGCCAATTATAATACACAAAAATTAACGATGACAAATTTTTTATTTAGAATGAGACTAGATATATGTTTGCTCTATCTCTTGACATTATTTTCATTCTTACAGGTAAAGTTATCCATTTATATCAGTTAAAATAGTAACCTACACCTGTCCTAAGTCAGGATTATCTGATGTTCAGTAGTTGTCGTTTGTTGATGTGGTCCATAAGTGTTTCTCGTTTTTCGTATTTTATATAGATTAGAACGTTGGTTTTCCCGTTTGAATGGTTTTACACTAGTAATTAATGGAGCCCTTTATAGCTTGCTGTTCGGTGTGAGCCAAGTCTTCGTGTTGAAGACCGTACTTTGACCTATAATGGTTTACTTTTATAAATTTTAACTTGGATGGAGTTGTCTCATTGGCACTCATACCACATCTTCTTATATCTATTAAAAATAATGTATAAACGAAATGTCACCCTTTTTGTCAAAAACCGTCTAACATCTTTGCATGTCTGGGATAATTTGAGAATATCTGATCTGTGATCTCCTGTCATGCCTGTACTTGGCATTCACAATACTGGTATATCAGTTTACTGGTTTTATACATTTTTTTCATACGATGCAGTCCGGTAACTCTGCCCACCTAAGGCTTTAATCGTGTATATTTCTTCTTTATTATATAAAAATTTTATATCTTATTTCCGCAAAGATATATCTGAAATGATTTGAAAATCAATCAGACAAATGGGTCACCTGTGTTTTTCACGGAATTGTGGTTGTCGGGTAAGTCCGCCCATGCGTAGTAAACATGTATGGAGGACCGGTTTTTGTCTCGCTTGACGGAGTTAAAAAGCAAGAAATAGGTATGCTGTTTCCTGCAACAGTGGCGGCAACAATGTATTATTTTGTGATTAGGTCTAGTTTGTGGTGAACCACTAGTGGTGGGTCAATGATATTTGGTATGCAGTTGTATTATCATTAGCATATCTCATTACCAGGTAGATTATTTGGCCCGGCCCCCTCGGTCATGCTCTATTGACTTTGAAACTTTGCTAAGTTTACATGTATTAGTTTGTGATTATGGCAGTTTATGGGGAACCACTAGTGGTAGGTCAATGATATTTGGTATGCATTTGTATAAACATTGGCATATCTCATTTCCATGGAGATTATTTGGCCCCTCCCCCTCAGTCATGCTCTATCACTTTGAAACTTTTGCCTAGTTTTCATGTATTAGTTTGTGATTAGGTCAGTTTAAGATGAACCACTAATGTTAAGTCAATGATATTTGGTATGCAAATGTATTGGCATTGGCAAGTTTCATTTCCATGGAGATTATATAACCCCACCCCCCAATTATGGTTCATTGACTTTTACATAGTTTACAAGTTAATGTTTGTATTTAGGTTTGATTAAAGGGAACGACTTATGAAAAGTCAGTGGTATTTGGTATGCAGTTGTATTAGCATTCCATGGAGATTGTTTAGCCCTGTACCTTCAGTCATGGTTCATTGATTTTGAATATTTGCATAACTAATATGTTAAAATTAACTATTTTAATTTCAGCATTTGCATTATCAAAATAACAAATAGGCGAGACATATCTCTGTGTTAACAGTTTATTCATATATTAACGAACTAGAATGTAAGGAAATGATGTTTTATTAATGGACCACAAAGAAAGGAACTATAGATGAACGAAATAAAAAAAAATCAAGTCAATAAGATAAAGAAACTAGTGAAAATGAAGAATAAACCAAAAATGTAAAAAATGTTGTTTTTTTTAAGATCAGAAAATAAAGAAAAGTAAAAAATATGATTATAAAAAAAGATATGAATGTCAATAGCATGGTTGATAGTATTCTCATAAAAAAATTGCCATCATTCAGTATTCTGAAATGCAGTTAAGACACCATCATCCTTGTCAATGAGTTTAAAGTCTGCGCAGTATATAGTGATTTAAATATATAACCCAAAATTTTATATCAGAGTCAATATATTTTATTTTTATTCTTTAAAATCGATAAAAAAAAAACCCACCAAAAAACAGAAAGCTTGTGTCAAACTTTCACATACATATTTCTTAAAGATACAGGATCTTTAAGAATTTTTTTTGAATTTTGTTATTTTAGCTTTCCATAGTTTTTAAAATTGAATTATCTTCCTTTGATTTAGACCTGACATAAGCAAATGTTTTTTTTCAAAGTTATAATAATATAGCAGACGAAAATTTTTCTTAAGAGACGCACATGGAAGTAAAGGGCGGAGTTATCAGACGGGCGGAATTACCGGAAACGACTGTACCAATTCATTAGTATTGTTGTGAAAATCCGTGGACGGTAACAACGGGATTCGAACCCTCAATCTTTGGATCTAAAGGCAGCGCTCTAACCAATTGAGCCAAAGAAGATCTTTCCTAACTCAACTAGTTAGACTACCTTTATATCTCTAGGTCTACAACACTATGAAACAAATTTCTATGTCAACATGGAGGGTTTCTTATCATTGAGTTACAAGTTGCGAGTTGGAAAGGCAGAGTTGCGAGTTACAAAAGTCGAGTTGCGAGTTACAAAAGTCGAGTTGCGAGTTACGAAAGTCGAGTTGCGAGTTACGAAGGTCGAGTTGAGAGTTACAAAAATATTATGTTTCTCTAATTTCTTAAGAATTATATTTTTGTATGATTAACCTGTTTTTATGCCCCCGCCGTAGCAGAGGGGGCATTAAGTTTTACCCTTGTCCGTCTGTACGTACATACGTAGGTACGTCCCAAAATTGGTTTCCGTTCTCTAACTTTAGTTTGTCTCCACCAAATGTTATGAAACTTATACACAATGCTTATTACCACAAAACGCAGATTAAGTTTGAATTTTGGTGGCGTCACTTTTACCGTTCTAGAGTTATGCCTCTTTACAAATGGAAAATTGCTGAATTTATCGTTTCCGTTCTCTAACTTTAGTTTGCCTCAACAAAATGTTATGAAACTTATACACAGTGCTTATTACCACAAAACACAGATCAACTTTGAATTTTGGTGGCGTCACTTTTATCGTTCTAGAGTTATGCCCCTTTAGAAATGGAAAAATTGCTGAATTTTTCGTTTCCGTTCTCTAACTTTAGTTTGCCTCAACCAAATGTTATGAAACTTATAAACAATGCTTATTATCACAAAACACAGATCAAGTTTGAATTTTGGTGGCGTCACTTTAACCGTTCTAGAGTTATGCCCCTTTAGAAATGGAAAAATTGCTAAATTTTTATTTTCTTCTCAATATCAAGTTATTTTTAAAATTAGTTATCTTTATTTTTTCCATGATTATAGTTGAATCAACTACAATCAATGCTTTATACAATGCAATGTTTAATTTTGACTTCCACTGATAAAACAGATCAAGTTGAATTTGGGTAGTGTCACTTTAACCATTATTGAGTTATGCCCCTTTATAAATCAAAAGATTGCAAAATTTTTAGTTTCCATTCTGTAACTTAAGGTTGCCCCAACCAAACATTATGAAACCTATACACAATATTCATTACCACAAAACTAAGATCAAGTACAAATTTTTTGTTTCCGTTTTCTAACTTTAGTTTGCCTCAACCAAATGTTATGAAACTTATACACAATGCTTATTACTACATAATACAGATTAAGTACGAAATTTGGTGGCAACACTTTTACCATTCTTGAGTTATGTCCCTTTATAAACATAATAATTGCTGAATTTTTCGTTTCTGTTCTCTAACTTTAGTTTGTCTCAACCAAATGTTATAAAACTTATACACCACCGTTAGAGTTATGCGTGTTTACAAATAGAAAAATTGCTGAATTTTTATACGACCGCAAAAATTAAAAAATTTTTTTGGTCGTATATTGGTATGATGTTGGCGTCGTCGTCGTCGTCGTCTGGCGTCGTCCGGTGTCGTCCGAAGACACATTGGTTTTCGCACTCTAACTTTAGTTTAAGTGAATGGATCTCCATGAAATTTTACCATAAGGTTCAATACCACGAAAGGAAGGTTGGGATTGATTTTGGGGGTTATTGTACCAACAGTTAAGGAATTAGGGGCCAAAAATAAGCATTTTTGTAACTTTCAGACAATAACTTGTGTGTAAGTGTATGGATCTCTCTGACATTGTACCACAAGGTTCCATATCACAAAGAGAAGGCTGTAATTGATTTTGGGGGTAATTGCCTCAAAATTTTAGGAATTAGGGGCCAAAAAAGGGGCAAAAAACAAGCATTTTTCTAGTTTCATGACAATAACTTGTGTGTAAGTGTTTGGATATTTCTGAAATTGTACTACACGGTTTCATATCACAAAGGGAAAGCTGGAATTGAGTTCGGGGGTAATTGCCTGAAACGTTTAGGAATTGGGGGCCAAAAAGGGGCCAAAAATAAGCATTTTTCTAGTTTCAAGACAATAACTTGTGTTCAAGTGTATGGATCTCTCTGAAATTGTACTGCAAGGTACCATACCACAAAGGGAAGGCTGGGATTGAGTTTGGGGGTGATGAATCATAAGGGGGTTCAAAAAAAAATGGGGGGGGGGGATTTTTTTTTCTTTCTTTTTTTTTCTTTTTTTCCTTTTTTTTTTCTTTTAAAATTTTCCATTTTAAGTTGGTTATTTCTGATTTATATTTAAAAGCAAATAATAATGATATGGTAGGAGATACACACCAAACAGGATGTGTAAATTTTTATATAATAAGTATTGTGCAATAGCAAGAAATTTTCAATTGCACAGTATTGCAAAATAGCAAGAAATCTTCAATTGCACAGTATTGCGCAATAGCAAGAAATATCCAATAGCACAATATTGCGCAATAGCAAGAAATTGTCAATTGTACAGTATTGCACAATAGCAAGAAATATTCAATTGTACAGTATTGTGCAAAAGAAGATACTTCTTATAAATTGCTTATTTCTTGATCAATTTCAATGGGGTTTTATTCTTGAATTCTTGGGGTTCTTTAATATGCTGAATATAACTGTGTATAAAGTTTTTGGATTTTGGGCCCCGTTTTTAAATTGGTCCACATTGAGGTCCAAAGGGTCCAAAATTTAACTTTGTTTGATTTCATCAAAAATTGAATTATTGGGGTTCTTTGATATGCCGAATCTAACCGTGTATTTAGATTCTTAATTTTTGGTTCTGTTTTCAAATTGGTCTACATTAAGGTCCAAAGGGTCCAAAATTAAACTTAGTTTGATTTTAACAAAAATTGAATTTTTAGTGTTCTTTGATATGCTGAATCTAAACATGTATTTAGATTTTTGATTATGGGCCCAGTTTTCAAGTTGGTCCAAATCGGGGTCCAAAATTAAACTTTGTTTGATTTCAACAAAAATTGAATATATGGGGTTCTTTGATATTCTGAATCTAACCATGTATTTAGATTTTTGGGCCCCGTTATCAACTTTGTCCACATTGAGGTCAAAAGGGTCCAAAATTAAACTTTGTTTGATTTCATCAAAAATTGAATTCTTGGGGTTCTTTGATATGCTGAATCTAACCATGTATTTAGATTTTGGATATTGGACCATAATAGGTGAATGTCTAATTAAAAATTTTTAAGTTCTTAGACCACATTCATTCTGTGTCAGAAACCTATGCTGTGTCAAATATTTAATCACAATCCAAATTCAGAGCTGTATCAAGCTTGAATGTTGTGTCCATACTTGCCCCAACTGTTCAGGGTTCGACCTCTGCGGTCGTATCAAGCTGCGCCCTGCGGAGCATTTTATTAGTTTCTGTTCTCTATTTAAGTTAGCCTCAACCAAATTTTATGAGACTTACACACAGTGCTTATTACCACAAAACTCAGATCAAGTTCAAATTTGGGTAGCGTCACTTTTACCGTTCTTCAGTTATGTCCCTTTATAACTATATGATATGCAAGTGGGGGCATCATCTGTGTCCACATGTGGACACTATCCACATTTATTTAGAAAAAAGTTACATATTCCAAAACTGCGTCTTTTGTCTCTTTTACAAAAGTATCTTTGACAGCTACATGTATATGTATAGAATAAAGAATGGAAACGGGAATGTGTGAAAGAGACAACAACCCAACCAAAATATAAAAGTCAACCGAAGGCTACCGATGGATCCTCAACACAGCGAGAAATCCCACACCCAGAGGCAGCCCCAAGCAGGCCCCGAAACACAATGTATACTATATCAAGAAAATGGACACCATTCTATGCTCCGAAACATATAGATCAACCAAAATTAAAAAAGATACAAGACCAACAAAGGCTAGAGGTTCCTGACTTAGAACAGACGCAAAAAAGCGGTGGGGTTAAACAGATTTTATGAGCGCTCAACCTTCCCCCTTAACCTCTAGCCAATGTAGACATATATAACTTAAACGTCCACAATTTTTAGTGTCACTGCCAAAGAATAAATTTTGGAGTCCTTCAAATATTGCCTCTGCAGCTGCCCCAAAGAGCCAACTCTTAACGAAATCTGCAGAAAGGGTCTTTTACATATATGTACATGTACTATAGTTTAGTTGCTATCTCCCTTTACGTTTAATATGACGGTGCTAGCTATGAAATTTAATAATAATTAAACTACAAGCCATCCGCTGTATTTCAAAAGGCTATCTGTTTCTTCAGAAAATAACCATACTTTGCGTAGTGATTATGTAAGCAATCCATTCATTTTTTTACACGAGACTCAGATGAAGTCCAAACAACAAAAAGAATCAACAATACTGTATACAATTCTATAAGCAATCATCATTCAAAAATGTTAAAGAGGTACACCAAAAAATTAGAATAGTTTTCCCCATTTTCACGCAAATCTTATTTCGTAACTCGCAACTTGACCTTTCGTAACTCGCAACTCGACCTTCGTAACTCGAACCTCGACCTTGTAACTCGCAAGTCAACTTTTGTAACTCGCAACTTGACTTTCGCAACTTGACTTTCGTAACTCGCAACTCGACTTTTGTAACTCGCAACTCGATACTCGACAACAAGTGAATCTCGTCAACATGTACCAAAACACAACAGATATGATTTGTTCAACAAATTTTCAAAAGTATCATTTGGTCAAGGATAAGGGACTTAATATCTTTCAGATATACAGCCTGTTATACTCTACATGCCTTCCTAAGATGTGTACCATTCTATCCAACACCCACAAGAGTGTCAAGTTGACATATTGGAAAATTTTGACTATATTTTAGACACCTCAAACTCGTTTCAAGTGTTGAACTACATGTTTAAACATCTTTCATATTAATGCAATTTTCCTAAAATTTCTCAGATTTCACCATGATTATATGTTATTGTGTCACACTATAAAGAACTGATTGTGCAATAACATCATTTTGACAGTTTGTCATTGGGTCAACTGGTTCATCATTATTCATAGCGGTCTCTGTGGCTGAGTGGTCTTAAAGGTTCATATACTGTATCACTAGCCTGTTTTCACTGCGGTTATGTCAGAGTTTGAACCCTGCACATGGCAGCCGTGCATTCAACTCTATTCTTAAATGACTAAGATTGTCAGGTTTCCTGTTCATGTTCATGATGTTATTGATCAGGTCATTGGTTCTTCTCTGGGGACTCTGGCCATGGCTTCCGATCTTATTAAAATCCAACCGCTATAATATAGCCAATAGTGCTGAAGGTGGTGTCAAACACCAACAATATCAATCAGTCAATCATAAAAAAGAACTTGAAATTGGTGTATGAATCTCACAATAGGATAGCAGTGTAATATTCTGATTTCTCCTTGATTATAATCCTTCAAGAAAAAGCCTTTTTTTTGTCAAAACTATGTCCTCCTTCAGGATATACAGCTTGTTTTATTGACCATTTTCACACAAAATCAGTAGAAATGAACTGAATTTCATGGACCAGAACACTTCTATGGAAATACATTTGTCCATATCCAATTTTGCTGCAGGCTGTTCAAATTACTGTTCAGAGTTTGGTAAATAACCTTTATCATGTATATGTTCCAATTTTTATTAATGCAAAATCAATGTTTATGACGTAAAAAAAACATGTTTTGAAATTTTAGTAAACTTTATATTAAAGTTTCTGATGAATGTTACTTTATGTCTTATCTTCTCTGTATTTATTTCAGGCAGCATCACAAGACACAAGTTTTGAAGATGTAAGATGCAAATGTGTTTGTCCTAAACTGAATGAAGTTAACTCCACACAAGATCGAACAGTGTACATTAGTGCTAATGTTAATCCTAACATGTGGTAAGTTGTTCAATCAGTGTTTGATGAGGACATCGTACTAGTGTACATTAGTGCTAATGTTAATCCTAACATGTGGTAAGTTGTTCAATCAGTGTTTGATGAGGACATCGTACTAGTGTACATTAGTGCTAATGTTAATCCTAACATGTGGTAAGTTGTTCAATCAGTGTTGAATGAGGACATTGTACTAGTGTACATCAGTGCTAATGTTAATCCTAACATGCGGTAAGTTGTTCAATCAGTGTTTGATGAGGACATTGTACAAGTGTACATTAGTGCTAATGTTAATCCTAACATGTGGTAAGTTGTTCAATCAGTGTTTGATGAGGACATTGTACTAGTGTACATTAGTGCTAATGTTAATCCAAATATGCGGTAAGTTGTTCAATCAGTGTTTGATGAGGACATTGTACAAGTGTACATTAGTGCTAATGTTAATCCTAACATGTGGTAAGTTGTTCAATCAGTGTTTGATGAGGACATCGTACTAGTGTACATTAGTGCTAATGTTAATCCTAACATGTGGTAAGTTGTTCAATCAGTGTTGAATGAGGACATTGTACTAGTGTACATCAGTGCTAATGTTAATCCTAACATGCGGTAAGTTGTTCAATCAGTGTTTGATTAGGACATTGTACAAGTGTACATTAGTGCTAATGTTAATCCTAACATGTGGTAAGTTGGTAAGAGGATATTGTGGATTTGTTGTGCTACATATGGGATATAATTAGCTGGTTTCAACTTATATATAAAAATAATGAGATATGGAATGATTGCCAATGAGACAACTATTCACCAGAATCCAAATGACATGGAGGTAAGCAATTATTGGTCAATGTATGGCAATGAATAATAATGAATCCACAGTAACTATCATGATAAATATTTAATTGCAGGATTTTTCCTGGTGGTTTCTCATTCTTCTAGAGAAAAAGTCATCAGTAATCACATATACATTATTTACTTGTTTTAAGTTTATATTTTACAATGATAGGCAATTTATTTCTTTTTCAGTACCTGTGTAGAGGTGGTAAAACATGCTTCACCGAAATTATGTGCACAGTGTGAATGTAAATATGAAAGTAGAAATACAACTACAATAAAGGTAGGGAAAATAAGAAAAAAGGTGTAATTCTGTCAATACAGGGATATGAGTTACTGTACAACATTCTACAATGAGCAAAACCCATATGGTATAGTCCGTTTGCTTATTAAACCAATAGACAACAGAAAACTTTAAATTGCTATTATGGAAGATTGGGAAACAAATCTCAATAACCACTCAGAAGTGAAACTATGTACACATGTTACTTTTAAATCCAATTTTGGTTGCGAAAAATATCTTGATATTGTTAGAAAACTTTTAAAAGTTTAACAAGATTTTGCATTTCTGCTCACCATTTACTTATAGAGATAAGTAGATATAACAATACTCCTAGACACAATAGAGTATGCCAAAGATGTTGTAGTAATGAGGTCAAGGATGAAACACATTTTCTTTTGAACTGTGATAGTCTATCTGACCAACGAAAAGATATGATGATAAATAATTGCTGCAAGAATTTTAAAAATCTAGACCCTACCAAAAAACTGATATGGTTAATGAATAATGAAGATGAGAAATTGTTATCAGAATTATGCATATTCATTTAGAAATATGAAAAGTTTTGATAGGATTTACACAAACACATCCATCTAAATATTCCATTTTTGGATAGTGACTATATGTCCAATAATATAGAATAATCTCCCTCTTTTTCTTATCACAAGAACTTTATAACTTTCCCATAGTGAGCCCTAGAGTGCCATCCTATGACAAATCTTGCACAGTAGCAATGTCAACCCCTTGTTGTTGTGCATTAGTCATGAGGAGAACCACTATTGGGAATGATCTCATTATAATATTTGTAGCTGGTTCTGAATGACTGCCCCTTGATGACCTCTGTGTTGTGGTGATGTAAAGTTCCTCGCTGCTGTCCACTGGTCATGAGGAGAACTACTACAAAATAAGAAACTATATTTCTTGTTATATTTTACATATATTTTTTACAAAATCAACCTCATTACACTAAACTCTTTATACTATAATAGTATCCTATATTGATCATATTTTACTTTATTTCTTTGTGTATTGTGTATTGTCACTAAAAACTCTCATGTTTTATGATAGGGTAATTATTTTATTATGATGTTTATGTAACTTGCCTGACTAGAGCCCATGATTGGTAAAATAAAATAATGCCTAATGGCCATCTAGACCATATTTTTTAAAAATAAAGCACACAGTTAAAAATGTGCACAGCACAGTCGGATTTTTGTGTTGGCACTTTCTTTCTGCAGATGATATATACAATGTACTATGCTCATTCTGTACATGGTGACTGCTGCAATCACTATTCTCACATAAACATTTTTATTATCTTTATTAACAGGTAGTAGTCATCTTTACCATATGTGTGGTGTCACTGCTGTTTGTTTATATGGTATTCTTGTTCCTGTTGGATCACCTAGTGTCATGGAGACCATCGTCATATCAACAACACATCAGTGAGGAGGTGAATTTGGTAACCATTAGGGCTTGGGGAAAGCCTGTTTTATATAACTTTGTATTTTGATACATTAATATAAACAAGTTGGTAGTTAAAATTTAGATGACATGTTATATGGAAATGAAAGATCTTGCTGGGTTCTTTTTCCTTGCAAAATTATAAGAAAACTTTTGAATACAGGAACTGTATCTCTGAATTTCAAAGAACTTCACCTTTTGAAATGTTGAATATTACTTATGATTAGGTTATAATTTTTTCTAAAATTGGAAAAGGGCATGTTTTTTTTCATAAAAAGGACAATGTAAAAGTATGGGACTTCTATCTAAAAAGACCCTTGGCATTTTATCTTTGTTATTTTATTATACATATGAAAATAAGAAGATGAATTATGATTGCCAATGAGACAACTATCTGCCTGAGACCAAATGATGTAGATTGGAGCAACTATAGCTCAACCCTGTCCTGTTGATTTTATTAGAATAGACAAACCTGAATACAAGTAAATGGGGTTTTGGGTTATTTTATTAATGTACAAAATAAGAAATACCCAAAACATTTTTTTCACAAATTTGACATAATCTTTTGATTTAAATATGTAAATGATAACAGAATAATTCTTGGTATCTTAATATTGTAATTTATAATAAAAGATTAAGTGATGTTACTTATATCCTGACAAAAACCCAATTATTTTTTTTAAACTTGTTTATATTTTTGTACATGTTGATGTAGTGCTTTGCTATATATAACTATTAATATATGCATACATACATGTTTTGACAGCAGGGATAAAAATATATTTAGTCCCTGTAATCAAAATGGATTGAAAATTTGAAAGATTTAAGCATTTCAGCTGGGGCTGAACGGTTCATTGAAGATGAAAAAATGTAATTTTGATAGAAAAAATGGGGAAATTGAAATTTTTATTCCTGTTTTTTTTGTTGGTATTGTATACATGTAATGCTTTTTGTCTTCTGGACCATTTGTTTAATGTGAATTCATGTGAGTGCAACATTTAACTATGGTATTTCTGCTTTCATGGTTAATTCAAATCAAGAGTGCATGTCTGCTGTGAGTCAGTTTCAATCATTACAGAATAAGCCTTTTATTTGAAAACCTTTTTATGCCCCCGCCGTAGCCATGTTTTACCCATGTCAGTCTGTACGTACGTATGTACGTACGTACGTCCCAAAATTGGTTTCCGTTCTCTAACTTTAGTTTGCCTCAACTAAATGTTATGAAACTTATACACAATGCTTATTACCACAAAACACAGATCAAGTTTGAATTTTGGTGGCGTCACTTTTACTGTTCTAGAGTTATGCTCCTTTACAAATGGAAAATTGCTGAATTTATCGTTTCCGTTCTCTAACTTTAGTTTGCCTCAACCAAATGTTATGAAACTTATACACAATGCTAATTACCACAAAACACAGATCAAGTTTGAATTTTGGTGACATCACTTTTTTTTCATTTTAATTCACTGTTTTTCACAAAAGTTAGGAATTCAATTGTGTTCAGGGCTCAGAATTCCATAGAAGAGTAAGTTGGAACTTTGAAAAATACGGGATTTTTTATGTAACTGTTATATTTGGAAATAAAAGTTATAAACTGCTTACCCAAGTGGGAACCACCGGTATTATCATTTAAGGCACTTTTAGCTTTATTTATGAATTGATTTGTAAATGTGTCAATGAGATATTTATTGACAAGGCAATGCTTTTGAATGGAGCTGAAATGTTATTATTCAAGTCACTTTTGGGAGAGAAACAAACATTATTATGAGTAAATTACATTTAAAATAGTTGAAACAAAATTTAGAAAAACCCAGGAATGTTGGTTAAAGAAATCTATGGGAACCGTATATAATTGTACATAACTTGATGTGCATTGATGCTTCTTAGGTGTAGAGTAAAAGATTTTCTACTGTCATGCAAAAGATATTTAATATGCATGGTAAGCAGTTTTATGCACATCATAATTATGTTGGAAACCTGTATAAGAAACAAGTATATACTTATCTGCATTTTTTTATAAAGAACACATTATTGATTTGACTCACAATCATTTTCACAATGGGTTGTATGCTTCATCTTCATCAAAAATAATAATCTTCAAGTCTGTGACATCTGCTTTTTGCCACTGATTTCTAAAATTCTTTCTAAGCATGTTCTTGTTTGTAATTATATATGAAAAGTTCAATGCATACTATCATTTAATAAATATATAACTTGACATGCCAACAATGCACTATTCAAGAATTAAATATTTAAAAGATAACAAAGATGAGGGACCTGATGGGTAATTTTCGTTCTTCGTGATAGGCGCATTTTCGCTATCGTGATCCGTTTTTCTACAGATTTTTTTTTTTTACATTTTCGTGATCCGTGATCATGGAAATTTATTTTCTGTGAATCGTGATTGACAAAAAAATCAACTTGTGAATTGTGATGAGACCCCCCCCCCCCCCCCCCCATCAGGCCCCTGATAGATTAACAATATGATTCTACAGTTTGAAGAAAGGCAAAACATAGTATAGAATAATGAAAGTATTGTTGATTTGAAAATGAGTTACAATTTATCATACCAATCTACAATCTATTATAAATTCTATTTTTGAGCATGGAAGGCTCACCAAAGTTGTACAAACAGGTCATGTGTAAAAAATATTGTTTGGCAATGTCATAATTTGTAGATTCTCATCAATCTAACACCAAACATGGAGTGGAAGAGAGGCTTTAGTATTTTGTTTTCTGTGGATTCATCTATTTTTGTTTTGAGATTCTGTACTCAATAACATTGTACACAAATGCTGTCCATAATGATTTAATTATCAGCCAAAAGAGGTTCTGTATATTGTACAAACATAAATTCCACAACGATACAGTTATTAGCAAAAACAGGTTCTGTGCAATTGTGCAAGCTTGTAACTCATAGTGGCTCATTTATTAGCCAAAAGTGTTTTGGTACATTGTACAAACATGTAATCCATAATGATTGACTTTCAGGTTCTAGTCAAAAAAGGTCCTGTACATTGTACAAACTCTTAATTTTTCATTTATTAACAAATTATGGTTTTGTACAAACATGTAATCCATAATGATTCTATTACTGTAAATTCAGAAATTATTGCGATGTTTTTATTATAGCGAAAAATGCGACAAGGTTATAATCGCAATAATTTGAACTCGCATTTTGAAATTTTTTTATGAATTTAACAGGATTTTTCTCATTATCGCAAAAATTAAAATCGCATTTTAGTCTAAAATGACAAAATTGCAATAATAAATGCACGCAATAATTTCTGAATTTACAGTATTAGCCAAAAGAGGCTCTATACATTGTACAAACTTGGTACTTATAATGATTCATTTATTGATGAATTGAGGTTTGGTATATTGTACAATCATGTAATTGATAATGATTCTGTTATTAGCACAATGAGATTCCATATATTACACATCATGACGAAGAGGTATGTGAATAGAGTAGACCTTTATAGTGATTTATTAGAAATACTGAATATATACTGGCATATTTTATATACATTGTTTAGGTCAATATTAAGGACTTGTTGATATTTTGGAATCAAATAATCTTGTTACAATTGCTACATTGTGTATTATGTAAAATAAAATTATTTAATTGAAATATGAATTTTAATGGGAGTATTTAGGATATCTAGAAGCATCTACAACTGGCAAAAAATGTGCATTAGCTTTCGACATAAATATAAGCCCTATCTAAAGAATACAAAGTTTTATTCATTTCAGGGTTCACAGATTTAATATGCATAAAATGAGACTTTTATCTAATATTTGTCAGTATATTCAGTAATTCTATGGTATATTGAGTGAACATATATCCAGATTTCCTCACTTTTTTTACACAATCTTTCAGACTAATGAACTCTCTATTACATTATTATATAGGGGTAAAATATTTTCCTATTATTACATATTGAACTTAAATGGCATCACAACATTTTTCTCTGTTGTATGTCTATACTATTACAATATAGTTTTTTTGTACCAATATTCATTGCAAGAACAATATCCTTGTACTTAAATTTTTTTTCCCCTGACCTCCCCTCTCTATCATTTTAAAACCACCAAAAGCAGAAGTACTGTGACATTTTTTGAAGATATTTCTTGTAAATTAGTGTTAAGAGTTCATTCTGTAGAAAAGTAAATTCGAAATGAGCAGTATTAATAAAGTTGTTAAATTTTGTCTTTTAGCAGTTTTACGTCAAAATTCTTCCAGGAACATATATATAGATATACTGTTCCCATTTTCTTCATAATTTCATTTTGGAAAGGCAAAAATTGAAATGAGATTTTCAGCTAATGCGATTTTTATGCCCCCACCTTAGATGTGGGGGCATTAAGTTTTACCCTTGTCCGTCTGTACGTACGTACGTCCCAAAATTGGTTTCCGTTCTCTAACTTGAGTTTGCCTCTACCTAATGTTATGAAACTTATACACAATGCTTATTACCACAAAACACAGATCAAGTTTGAATTTTGGTGGCGTCACTTTAACCGTTCTAGAGTTATGCCCCTTTATAAATGGAAAAATTGCAAAATTTTTAGTTTCCGTTCTCTAACTTAAGTTTGCCTAAACCAAATGTTATGAAACTTATACACAATGCTTATTACCACAAAACACAGATCAAGTTTGAATTTTGGTGGAGTCACTTTAACTGTTCAAGAGTTATTCCCCTTTGTAATGGAAAAATTGCAAATTTTTTATTTTCTTCTAAATATCAAGTAATATTTAAAATTGGAGTTATCTTCCTTTGTTCATGATTATAGTTGAATCAACTACAATCAATGCTTTATACAATGCATTGATTAATTTTGACTTCCACTGATACAACACAGATCAAGTTGAATTTGGGTAGTGTCACTTTAACCATTATTGAGTTATGCCCCTTTATAAATCTAAAGATTGCAAAATTTTTAGTTTCCATTCTGTAACTTTAGTTTTCCCCAACCAAACATTATGAAACCTATACACAATATTCATTACCACAAAACTAAGATCAAGTACAAATTTTTTGTTTCCGTTTTCTAACTTTAGTTTACCTCAACCAAATGTTATGAAACTTTTACACACTGCTTATTACTACATAATACAGATTAAGTACGAAATTTGGTGGCGACACTTTTACCATTCTTGAGTTATGTCCCTTTATAAACTTAAAAATTGCTGAATTTTTCGTTTCCATTCTCTAACTTTAGTTTGTCTCAACCAAATGTTATAAAACTTGTACACAACCGTTCTAGAGTTATGCGTGTTTACAAAAAGAAAAATTGCTGAATTTTTAGTTTCTGTTCTCTACTTAAGTTAGCATCAACCAAATGTTATGAGACTTACACACAATGCTTATTACCACAAAACTCAGATCAAGTTCAAATTTGGGTAGCGTCACTTTTACTGTTCTTCAGTTATGTTCCTTTATAACTATATGATATGCAAGCGGGGGCATCATCTGTGTCCACATGTGGACACTATCCTTATTTATTTAAATGATTTTTTATATGTTAAAATGACGAATCACACTCTGCCACATCACAGAATAAATTACAACCCCCCTAAAAAAACGGCAAAAAAGTGTCTACAGTACTACATGTACCATATAACACCAGAGGTCACTTGTCTGTGAACCTATTTTCTTAAATGTCAATTTATTTAGATTGTGTCAGAACCTATTGAAAGAAAAAATAGAAAAAATACAGTGTTGCGGTATGATTGCCAATGAGGCAATTATCCATCATAGACTAAAGGACCCAAGAAATTGCACTTAATACAAGAGGGAATGGAATTAAAAAAAATCCAAAAGGGCCTGGTTTTACTAATATTTAGTTATAGATTTTATATATCTAGGCCATGCATGTATACTAAATATGATGTAATGGATCAATTTTATACCAACATAATGTTATAATAGGGAAAAACACATACAACATTTGTTATATATATGTTAAAATTGACATAAAATAATACATTATACCATATGTAAGAATTGACAAAATAATTTCGGACAAGCCATGGTTGTCTTCTTTTTATAGAAAATTGATTGGTAAATCCTGAATTCATATTTTAATGACTGATTATATAGATAATGTATAACATAAAATTTTTTAGTATAAATTTACAAAAATCATTTATATTTTATATTTTATCTATATTTTGCAATGAAATATTACAATCTACTTTAATCTTTTACACTTTTGTAAGGAGATTCTTTGTTTAAGTAAGCTTTAAGATTTTAAAATTACAATGTATATATAAGATTATTTCTATTTTGTAGACTAATTCTTTTTCTACCAGTTTTGTATCTCTCTATTTCATAAACACATAACAAAACACTGTATGTCACTACTATATCTCTTATATAGTAGGGTAAAATTCTATACAAAATGAAAATTGAGTCACATTGACCTACAAAATATGTATGTTTTATGCTGGTTGCAGTTTATTCTGATGATTCCTGTTAACTCTTTTTCAAACTAAATGACTTGCAAATGTTTTATTACAACCCCTTTAATTTCATCAATCCAATTATGTTTTAATATAACTTTTCTGTAAAAAGATATTTTGCCAAATCACAAAAAAAGAATTACTTGTTTGTCATTTTTCCTACCTACACCCCCCTCCCCCACCACTCACCCTCATCATTATCCATATGTCACTTTACTTATGCTCATAGTAGTATACTACTTATATATAACAACTTCTCCCTTTTATAACAATGCCACAACATTAGGGAAGATACCATGGTATATTGCATTTCAGTTTAAAGAATTCTGTGAAGATCTGGTTCAACAAATTTGGAAGTCAGTGTAAGATGTAATCTGTAGTTGATTCACAACTGAAAACTCGGCCAATTGTTTGATACATTATACTTTCTATTTATAGGATGAACACTCTGTGACGTCTGCTACACCAGTAGTGTCAAGGGCAGAGTTGACCAGACAAAGGTCAATCATTAACCGTATGACAGATGAACAGAAAAGATGGAAGGGAACTGTGAAGGAACAGAGACGAAATATTTACGATAAACATTCCATGTTAAATTAATAATCACGAGACTAAGTAGGACTGAAATAAATGGAATTTTATGATGAAAATATCTGTTAGATTGCCTGCAATTATGCATGATATTTATAAATATCTTAAAGAAATAAATACATCGATTATGAATATTCTGCCATTTAAGGAAAGTTTAAGCGTACAGAATACATTTGATGTCCCACACAGTCATGCTAAAAGGGATTGTTTTGGAAACCCCATTAAAAGGTCCAAATTTGTGCTCAGTTGATGTCTATCTAAGAATAGTCCCTAAACTCAAACGTGGAATATTACTATGATAAATTTTAAAATGAGTTAATAACAGATTTGTTGTGCTTAGATTAATTGTGTAATGGATATATATTGAAGTACATATAACAGGTTCTGAACCATTGTTAGAAATATGTTATGTTTTTTTAAATGCCAGGCAAAAAATTTATTTGTTTGAGGCAAGAAATAAATTTATTAATTTTTGTGTATAGTTAAATATTAAGTTTTAAGAAGAACAATCTGAATTAAGGGGTCAAATATTGTGAAGAGAAATGATTGTGTATGAGAAACCAATAGAAACACATAACAGTTGGATATACATTTCTCTCTAGTAAGGGGTTAAACTTAGAAAAATATTGAAATTCAAATATGAGTAAATTAAGATTATATTAATTATACCATACATTCCATATAATGTGTCAAATGTTTTTATTAATTTATTTTAAGTGTGTAAATAAATGTTTGTTTTGCATGATGTGAAATGTATACTTGCTTGAAGTAAAGAAATGGAACATTTTATGATAATTCAAAGTTTCTATTAACAAACTATACAACAAATGAATTTAAGGAAGTTTGCTACTCAGTTTCAAAATAACAAGATTTTCATAACACTATTATATATTGATAGGGGATTAATAAAGGAACAAAAAGAGCAAAAATAAAATATAGGTCAATGTGCTTGTTTTTGAGATATTAGCCATTGAAATTTTGGCGGGAAAATATTCTCTCTTGATTTTCATAGCTTTATCATTGACAAGTTAAAGTTCTCAAAAACTATTAAAACATAATTAAGATTTTATAAGACTTTTCCAGATGGCTTATAATTATGCATATAAAGATTTTTAAAAAGAAAAATGGGGGTCAATGGGCAAAATTTTTTAAGGCATTCAAATAGATAAAACCAGAGGATTCTGAAAATCTGACAAAAATTCCAAAACATGACAAGCAAACTTCCTTAAGAGTACAGATAGATATTAGGATTTGTAGCATTGGATATCAAAGGTTTCAATGAACCTTTTATACTACTTGGAGTTCTTTATTTTTCATGGGGAACCAACTTTCGTGGATTTCACGGGTAAAGGGGAATAACAAATTTAAGTGTACAACAGAACAATTTTCATTTAATCTTGTATGCAAAATTTTGCAATACAATGAAATCAAGTATCCATGAAAATACAATTTTTCCTAAATCCACAGTATATGAAGATTTGCTTATACTACCAAAAGTTGATCAAAGATTTGGATAATAAACTTAAAATTCCTCAGAATTGGTTTGATTAAAGTAAAATTCATTGTCACATTAATCAAACGGAAACATCCATGATGCCAGGCTGTTGTGGTTGTATAAGTTGTAGTTGATACAATGACACAAGGTTTTGTTCTTTCATCAGAAATGCCCTAGTTTATCTTGTGGTACATCTGACATTTTACTACTATCTAACATCTCTTTAACATTTTAGTCAATATGACCTACAATTCATGCAACAGTTACTATTATTTTTTCAAATTTTCAGTAATTCAGTATGGTACATCATTGATATTAAATTACACTATCCCATCTGACATAGTTTAAGAAAGCCTGGTATCTTTATTTAACACAATAACTTATCATTCTCCAATTTGATCATTTCAATCAATAGTTTATAATTGAGTAAATTTGATTAAGTTAAGGGGTTAGGTCAGCATCTATGAAACTCTATGCTGAATTGCAATAGGTCATGTATAAACTATAACCCTTTTGTATAGTACAAATAATTTCAGAAACATTTGATTGACCTTGACCTTCAAATGATTCTAAATTTACTTTGATAGATGCATTTTAGTGTTTTAATATTTCTAAACTGAAGTTCTCATATATGGTAGTTTTGCAGTATTTTGGTAATCATGACCTATAGGCACAAATTATCAGGTATGAATGTTTATTTATTTTTTCGGAAAATAATACAGGTTTTTTTTTATCAAAACCAACTCTTGTTAGGTAGATAGGAAACACGGTTGGTAGACTATAATATATGTATAGCTAGGAATTATCTATTTATTCTGTGATATTGTAAGTTATGTTTTATAATGTGATTTTTGTATTTAAGTTTAAGCTGTTTGTGCAATATAACATCTCTTGTTTGTTAGAGACAGTTATTGTAATAGAAAGATGTGTTGTCTTAGATTTAAAATAAAACAGAATTTTTTTCCAATGATAGTGTTCTTTCAACCACTTGATGCATGTAGCTCATGTTAAAAAGGTTTTGCACAACCAGTACATGACAAGATCATCTTTGATCAAATAAAAAAAAAAACAACCAAAAAAACCACTTAAATAAATTGTCTTAAAATCAGCATGTTGTTGTTAAAGTATTTGGTTATATGCCCTAGGGTAGTGGCAATATTGGTCAAGATGCTTGTTTACCTGATAATCCGAGTGAACAAATTCAAGTTTTTTTCAATGCTATTACCGGTACCTACCTTAGTTCTTTGAAATGAAAGTCACAATATGTTTAAGTTTGTATTTAATTGTTGAAAATAATTTAATTCAGTTTAAGTCCATAATCACAGTACATAAATGGATTGAAACACTTGTTCATATCATGCCTTTATGACCAACTAACAGTTATGTAACAAAGTTTCCTATAGGCGGTTTACTCCTGGTTTGCCCACATTTAATCATACCAATTATCTATTAGTAAAGGAAACAAAAAAGACAAAAGGTTTAATGAGCATACAATTGTATAGTCTGTTCTAACTTATGTATATAGTTTATCATTCTATATATTTAGGTATTTTTTATTTTGTAATTCCATTTTCATTTGTATAGAAAAATAATGAATAAATCAAAAAAATGTTATCTCAATAACTTAATATCATTTCAATCGATTCATTTAACATACATGTACAAAACAATGACATGCAGTTATAAAGGTGTCTTAATAATTCAATAATTTTTGACTGATTTTAATGATTTAAATACACCAATATAAGTTCTCTTTTATTGCAAACATAATTTATATAATATATGAATCAAGTTTATAAATGCTTTGCATACTAAAGGAAAAGAATAAAGCACTAGGGTAAAATAGGTAATATGGGCCACTATATGTATAATGATGGGAAATACAATCAAAATTCACAAATTATTATATTCACAAAGTCACTAATTACAATATTTCACTAAGTTGTTCAGTTCAATTGGAGAAGATCGGTTGCTACATCAGAGTAGGCTATTACACTGATCCCTGAGTCTTTTTTTGGTATCTGTCTTTCAGGCATCCCTGAGTCTTTTTTGGTATCTGTCTTTCAGCAGTTTGAGTCTGGTGTCTATTTTTCTGTATCTTCGTCTTTTTGGTGGGTGTGCTCCTCCGCCTGCATACTGGATAATATAACATTCTGTTAGGGCCTGGGTCTTCTTTAGTAACACAATGATTTCGAAGATGTTGGGATGGGCATGTTGGAGTCACTTCTTAATTTTTTTATGCCCTCTTTCCAGGTGATTGGTAGTGCGGGGTCCTTCTGTGTAGTAGTGGTTCTATAAAAAGCGGCTACTGAACAGATGCATTTATATTCTATTTGTTAGAACTAATTGGATTTTTTTTTATATTAAATTTCAGAACAGTGATTTTATTAAAATTATAAAAAAAAATAAGCTGAATAAATAAAAAGAAATTTAAATGACATTTATTCTTATCTTTATAGTTTTTACTTTTTTCCAGAATATACCAACAATTAAAACTATTTGTTGATAAATTGTACAAATAATAGATATTTTTGTCTATTTGTCAAATTCAATACATTTTCCTGCTATAAACTAAATCAAATATAAATTATTTATGCACATTTTCCTTGATTTAATAGCAGAATACAGTATCTTTTATAAAATTTTACAGGTAAAATAAAAGGTAAAAAATATGACTATAATTCAGAAATAAACTATAATTGTTAAAACAACAATTCCCCCTATGTTTACATATGCATGTAATTAAAAGTAGGCAAACCAGGATGACACCCTGTAGGCAGTGGGAAATCTAGTGACAAAATATTTCCTCCCCTGTAAACACTGAAAACTTGATCTTTTAAATGTTTGTCCCATTTAAAAAGGACGCTATCAATTATAAATTCACAGGAAAACGTTCTGGTAAACGAAAATAGAAATAAGTTGAAATAAAACCAAAACTTCCATTTAATGTTATCATTTCCCTCTTTAAATAGATAACGATGAGTACAGCAGACTAATGGTATAAAACCACTAATTCATAGCCCCATTGCTTTCTATGTTAAATTCTGCAATTTCAAGCATAAATGGCTACTTTGTCTTAAATTCAAATAAAGTGGCAGTTATTTCATGCCAAAACTGTACCTTATGCTGACTTGTGCTGAAAAAATCAACATACCTTTAATTGCATATTAGAGCGTACTGGTTCCCGGAAGTTTGATAGAACAAAAACAGGAACTTCTGATCTGAACAACAGGCCAAATGAGCCCTATTAAAATTTCATATACTTCTTTATTATTCAAATAAAACTTTCAACAAGAGTTCTACAGTGATCCCAAGTCCCCAAGCTTTCATTTGATACAAAAACTACCCAAATATTCCCACTATTGACAAAGATACAGCTATGCGTAGGAACTATTTTGTTTAAAATATGTACTACTTTCTTGTATGTTCTTTCCGACTGGGCCTGAATTAGTGGTTCTATACCTATAACAGCACCAAACTTGTTATATTGACTTCTGCTTGACTTAATTTCCTTCTATGATCTATTTCTAGCATAGAAAAACACATAAAGCTTTTGTCAAAACACTATATCACTGAATTCAAGCTCAAATTGGACTGGTAGTAACATATGCGTTAAACAAAGAAAACTACATATGGATACCAATAGTGACAGATATGACACTTTTTCAATTTTTACCAGTTCTGATTTGTTAATATCTACTCAAATAACAGTGTTCTTTCCTATATGTCTTATTTTTATCAGAGATTCTTCCTTGAATATAAATACAGTGGTCCAAACATAAAATATAATTGATAATTTTGTCCCCCCTTTTTTCTACATGTTGGAAAAGGAGAGTGATTTGGTAAAAAAACCATACTTTTATGTATAAACATGGATCAACAAGAGCAATTTATGTATCTCCAAGCTAGACAACTTGCTAAAATGGTTATAAAATGCATTTCAAGAGAGATTTTGGAATTCCTATATAAGTATACACCAATTTTCCTTGAAATAAATAATTCACCAAGAAACACAATAAAACTTGAATACTCACTAGATAATTTGACCAAAAACAATATTTATACTATAAACTAGTTATAATATACAAGTTTCATTGGTTTCAGTGTTAGATAATCCAAAAATTTAAATTTCAGGTAAAATCTTAACCGTGTGCATGCTAAATGACCAAAAAAGGCTAAACTACCTTATTGTAGCAATTTGAGGGCTGTAATTTGACACTAACATAATTGTTACATAAAAAAAATAATGTAACATGATTTCTGACAACAAATGTGACCAATTTTCACTGTAAAGGGTATGATTTCTAAAAATAGAATTTCACATGCCTGTCAGTAATAGGTATAAAACCACTAATTCATAGCCCCATTGCTTTCTATGTTAAATTCTGCAATTTCAAGCATAAATGGCTACTTTGTCTTAAGTTCAAATAAAGTGGCAGTTATTTCATGCCAAAACTGTACCTTATGCTGACTTGTGCTGAAAAAATCAACATACCTTTAATTGCATATTAGAGCGTACTGGTTCCCGGAAGTTTGATAGAACAAAAACAGGAACTTCTGATCTGAACAACAGGCCAAATGAGCCCTCCTATTAAAATTTCATATACTTCTTTATTATTCAAATAAAACTTTCAACAAGAGTTCTACAGTGATCCCAAGTCCCCAAGCTTTCATTTGATACTAAAACTACCCAAATATTCCCACTATTGACAAAGATACAGCTATGCGTAGGAACTATTTTGTTTAAAATATGTACTACTTTCTTGTATGTTCTTTCCGACTGGGCCTGAATTAGTGGTTCTATACCTATAACAGCACCAAACTTGTTATATTGACTTCTGCTTGACTTAATTTCCTTCTATGATCTATTTCTAGCATAGAAAAACACATAAAGCTTTTGTCAAAACACTATATCACTGAATTCAAGCTCAAATTGGACTGGTAGTAACATATGCGTTAAACAAAGAAAACTACATATGGATACCAATAGTGACAGATATGACACTTTTTCAATTTTTACCAGTTCTGATTTGTTAATATCTACTCAAATAACAGTGTTCTTTCCTATATGTCTTATTTTTATCAGAGATTCTTCCTTGAATATAAATACAGTGGTCCAAACATAAAATATAATTGATAATTTTGTCCCCCCTTTTTTCTACATGTTGGAAAAGGAGAGTGATTTGGTAAAAAAACCATACTTTTATGTATAAACATGGATCAACAAGAGCAATTTATGTATCTCCAAGCTAGACAACTTGCTAAAATGGTTATAAAATGCATTTCAAGAGAGATTTTGGAATTCCTATATAAGTATACACCAATTTTCCTTGAAATAAATAATTCACCAAGAAACACAATAAAACTTGAATACTCACTAGATAATTTGACCAAAAACAATATTTATACTATAAACTAGTTATAATATACAAGTTTCATTGGTTTCAGTGTTAGATAATCCAAAAATTTAAATTTCAGGTAAAATCTTAACCGTGTGCATGCTAAATGACCAAAAAAGGCTAAACTACCTTATTGTAGCAATTTGAGGGCTGTAATTTGACACTAACATAATTGTTACATAAAAAAAATAATGTAACATGATTTCTGACAACAAATGTGACCAATTTTCACTGTAAAGGGTATGATTTCTAAAAATAGAATTTCACATGCCTGTCAGTAATAGGTATAAAACCACTACCGGTAATTCATAGCCCCATTGCTTTCTATGTTAAATTCTGCAATTTCAAGCATAAATGGCTACTTTGTCTTAAGTTCAAATAAAGTGGCAGTTATTTCATGCCAAAACTGTACCTTATGCTGACTTGTGCTGAAAAAATCAACATACCTTTAATTGCATATTAGAGCGTACTGGTTCCCGGAAGTTTGATAGAACAAAAACAGGAACTTCTGATCTGAACAACAGGCCAAATGAGCCCTCCTATTAAAATTTCATATACTTCTTTATTATTCAA